CCTGTCACCAGTGGTGGGATTCTCTGTGCCGATGGGCTCCTCTGCCATGGAGCAGAACATGGTTCCTGTCACCAGTGGTGGGATTCTCTGTGCTGAAGCTGTTGGCTCCACAGGAGAGCCCTTTCCTGCCCAGCTGGATCACTCCCACTGACCTCATGGTCTGCACATGACAAAGCATTGATGCAATTCAGGACGTTCATCCTCCTCTGCTCTGGGCAGCTTCACTAAAACACAAGCCTGTTTGACAGATGTTCTCCAGCACATCTTTTTGACAGCTCCTCTGCCAGCTCCTCTTGCTTTTGTTCAGGGCCAGGCCTTTGCTGGTGGAACTCCTTCCAGGTTTTGACCCGAGTTTCTGATTTATCTCCTTTGTGTTCTGTGGAAAGTCAGGCTGCAGCATTCAGGAACAATAGTACAATTATGTAAGAGCTCTTTTTCCCTTTCAGAGAGGACAGAGTGAAAATCTCCAGGGATATCTGTTTGTCTTTTGGCAGTGCCTGGCAAATGCTTAAACGCTGTTCAATGTTAAACTATCTTGCTTGGGACCAACATTTAAGAAGTAACAAAATTATCTTTGGTGGTGTTCTCTCAACTAACATCTCTTAGGTGCTGTTGCAAAGACCTGGGGCATGGTTGAGAGGGAGAAACCATTTTAATTCTTGCAGAGAATAAATATATCTCTCATGAATTGAAGAATCAGCTGTATATCAGGAGAATTGTTGGGACTGCAAGTGTTTGAGGGGACATTTAATACTAAAATGCTGATCAGAAGCCTTAGGCAGTGTAAGAAATGTGGAGGGACATTAGTGATAAATGGGTCTGTTTTGGGTGTGCACTGCAGGGTTGTGCTCCACAAGGTGACAGATCAGATCACACCAACCAGCAGTGCAGCTCACCAAGGACCTCAGTGGGGCATCCACTTAATTGTGCTTTAAATAAATCACCTTATTGGTCTATTAGCTGATTCCAACCCTCAGAAGTGCACATAAGTTATTACAGTGGAAAGTGCTTTAAAAACATTAATTGACTTTATGTCAAGGGGGCTGATTGTACATCTCTGAACTAATTCAATTAAATGGTGTAGGTGGTTTTATTTTGGTTCTTAGCCAATTTTGCTTCCAGCTCTTATTCAGGGGTAACCTTGTTGAACTTAAAGAACAAGCAACAATTTTCTGTTGCTCTAGGCATTTTGTTCCTTAAAATTTTCCTGTACTAAATACTGAAGCACATTTTTACAGGGCTGGTTTGCATCACTTTGCGTTGCTATTCCTGACTAGCAATTTGTGATTTTTCTTTTTGAGATTTAAAAATAGTTTCATATATATTTTGGTTACCTCAGGGAAGAAAAAAATTTCACAGAAAATAATTTTAAGTACATTTGCATTTTATCAGCAGAAAGTTAAAACATTAATTGTTGTTCAATAAACTCCAGCTGAATGACAGATACTAGAAAAGCAAAGATGAATATTTCTGTGTTCTGAAACAATGTTCCTTCCCCCTCTGCACCCGAATGTTTTCTCCTAACAGTTTATTCTCTCTTTTTCTCTATGTAAATATTATGGGACTCTGATGTAAGTGTTACAGATTGCATGAATTTTCCTCTGAGGTGTTTGGAATAGACTAGCACTTAACAACTCACTCATTTGTGGGATGTGTTTTCATTAACGGATGACTTTGTTGATGTAATTAGGCTTGTTTCCTTTGGTTGCATTTGACTCCAGCTTTGGAAAGGATGTCTGCCTCTGTTTGGTGGTTCCTGGGCAGTGTGTGCTGGTGTAGTTGGCTGCTCCTAACTCCTTGGTTTGGCAATAAAAGCTGCTGGGGAAGTACAGGACTTGGGTCAATGTCTTTTGGAAATGATGGTGAATTTATCTTTATTGCAGGGGAAAGAAGCTGATGGCCATCGTATAATAAATATCTGTTCTCCTGTGCTTATAAAGTGGTGTGCAAACCCCTTACATGAATGATCCCCTGGAAAGGCTTAACTTTGGAGTGACTTTACCTTCCATTACAATAATACAGTACCTTGCTCTTGGTTTGTGTAGTCTGCGACTGTGGTTTTCCCCATTGCTCCTGAGGAATTGAAGTGATGGGAGACACAAATATTGTGCCTGGCAAAATAAGGGGAGATCCAGTGTCAAAGTTGCCTGATTCCCACTGTAACTGTACTTAAGTGTCCAGATTTTTCAGAGGATCTAGGTCAAACTAATTTGTTCACTTGCACTTAGAGTGGGCTGTGTCCTGACTTCTGTTGTACTCATGAAAATCCACAGGAATTTGCTACACATTTACATGGCAGCGTGGACCAGAGTCTGAACCAAAGTTATTGCTGAAAAAAACAGCACACTACTGAATCCCAGATACTGCTCTAGGAAGAGTTTTGCAAATGAAATTTCCTAGCCTTGTTGAATCATAGTCATCAAAGATTGCAATGATCTGGCCCTACGTTTCCTGTCCGTGCTGGGTTGTTCCCTGAGGTGCATTAACAACTCAAATCCCAACTCTGCAGAGCACTTTAACTTGAAATGTGCCCATTTTCAGGGCTTCCCACACAATGTGTTGGTTGTATCAGTTCCTCTGGGAGGACTTATGATGGAATGATAGGAACTGGAATTAAGAGAATTAACTGGAATAATCTGTTTCCTTAGACTGTTTACAGTCAGATTCTGGCTTGCTTTAGTGGAGAGAGTAGTGTAATCTAGTAAACACTGAAAAGGTGTTTGCAAGAGGCAGCAGCATCTTTAGTCCTGGAACACCATCCCATTTCCCACTCTGCAGCAATTCAGCCCCTTCACACAAAGATGTGGAGCCATAAATGTAACGGGTGGAGACACCTAAAGCACAGCCCACCCTAGGATGGGGAGTGAGAGTCTCCCAGAGAGAGTCAGGGCAAAGGTCTGGTGTATGATCTGTGTTTTCACACAGCCACCTCCCAGCTGTGACTGTCCCTGGGGTTGTTGGCTGTTCCCTGGAGCAGCACACACTGCTGACTCTGCCACTCTGGGGACATCTGATAGTGACCTGAGGCCTCACAGCCTCAGATCATAAAGCTGGATCTCAGAAACACACAGGAGGTCACCCAAGGCCAAGTGCTGTCCTCAAAATGCATGCTCCAGCCCTGGCAGTATGTTTTGCTCCTCAATCTTTACCTTCTCTGGTAACAAACCTTGGTGCCCCAGACCCCTTTCATTCACTTTAAACCTCCATCTCCTTTCTCAGCAGTTCCTCACATTTGTGTTTGTTCTTCTGATTAACCTCTGCTTTATATTTTTATTCACTCTCTTCACGGTGTCAGAAAATCAATTTTTTATAATGTTTTTTACCATATTCACAAAAAATAACGATTTCAGAGCTGGGGCTCACACAGCAGCCGCTCTTCAGAGATGAGTTCTCTGCCATCCCACACCAACAGAAGGCTTCCACAAATGTGGGACAAAGGCTGGCACCCCAAAGTCTGGCAGATCAACACGAGCTTGGGTTGCTCACAATACAGGTGTCCTTCCCAAGGCAGGATGGGCAGGGAGTCCTCCCTTCTTTTTCCAGGTCTTAAGGAAAGTGCCATGTGTATTAAAGATCTTCTCTCACCAATGGCCAGAAAAGGAGTGGAAAAGCCTAGGAGAGCCCATCTTCCCTTTTCCAGTTCAGTGAGGCTGAAGCTAAACTGGTTCCCATTTGGCTGGTTTTCAGTGTCCCACTCACAACGACTTGGGGCAGGGAAGAAAAGGGATCAGCCCAACTTCCAGTGAATTTTACAGACCTCTCAGCTGCAGGGATCAAAGCAGTATGTGCCAGCTTGGAGGCTGAGCTCTTATCTTGATCTTCATGGAAGCAGCTTCAGGACATGGATGTGATGTTTGGACTGGTGGGGAGAATGGAAAAGCCTGCTGTGGAGGTGACATGGTTGGCAGAGCTTGCTGGGTATCTTTTTTGCCCAGCATCTAATTTAAGAGGGAGAACAGTAATAAAGAAAACAACGTATGCTGCAAAACCATGGGATTCACAGAAGCATTATCAGGATCACAGTTCCTTCTGTTATCCAGTGGAGTGGCTGGTTGTAGAATGGGAGCAGGGCACATTGTCATGATTCTATTCACTCAGTCTCAGCAGCCAGTGTCTCCTCACTCTGGTCGCTGACCACCCTGACTCTGGTTCTCCAGCACCTCTCCATCCTGTCCCCCTCAAAGTCTTTTTCCCTGGTGAAGGCCCCTGTCTGCTCTCAGTGGCACACAGATGTGTTGTTGGGCCACTGTGCAAACCTCAGTGAGGCCATTAAGGAAAGTTCTGACCCACTTCTACTACACTTGACTAAATATTGATTTTTCTTAGGCAGGCAGCAAAGAACAGCTTCCACATCCAAGAGGGTCTAAGCTAGGCTGCTCCTGGGTAGATCACTTCCCAAGTGGAGGGATAAAATAGTAAACTAAAATATTCCTGTCCTGTTTTGCCATGTGATCTGGAGAACGTTTAATTCTCCCCACAGTTCAGTATTCACACTACAGTCCTACACAGAAGAAAAACCTTTCAGCATTATCCTGGGCTTCTCTGCAATGTGACTATCAACAACTTCAGTACAGCTGGGGAAAAAAGTCAACTTCCAGCTCTTCCTGAAGACCTGCAGTGGTATCTTCCAGCCTGCCCATGTGAATGGTGATAAAGGGGTAGAAGCACAGTGGGCAGAGGATGGTGTGCACAGGCTGCTGTCTCGAGCAGCAGCTGCATCCTGTGGGCTGAGTGATTAGCTGCTGAATTTAGTCTGGCACTGGGGAGAGCCCCAGCGACCTGCTCGTGACTTGTGGTGTTGCTGTAGCCAATTCATTTCCCCTCTATCTGTTACCCAACTGAAAGAGCTGTCGAAGAATTCAGTTCTTTTGGGCTTTAAGAATCAAAATGGATTAGTATTAGATTTTTAAGAATCGTCTTTGGTCCAGCAGACTTACAGTCAGGCTGAGACAAGAAGCACAGAGCATTATTTCTATGCATGTTCATGCAACAAAGTATAGACCCAGTAATTCTGATTAATGCCAGCTAAACAGCAAATAGTTCCACTCCTACCATGTTTCAGAATCAAAAAAGCCCTCTCAATTAAACAGAGAAACCTCCAGCCCTGCTGGTAAGAAACTATGGTGAGCAGGACACTTGGTCATGTTGAGTTCCCTCTTCTGTACCTCTTGCTTTGGGCTGGCTATTAAAAATAGTGTCTCATTTACTGTCTGTATTTAGGCAGCAAATAGATTGTGTTGTGTAACACCACCAGTCCCACAAAGATTGTGCTGTAAGTTACAAGGGTAAGAACCACCAAGTGTTTGTGGTTTGAAGTTTTGAGGCCATAAACTGCCTTCAGGAACATCAGCAGAGCCAGTGCTCCACCACATTTACTCCAGAGTGACAAAGGAGAGACTTTTCCCTGCACTGGTTTTCCAGCAACACACCCACTCGATGAGGGCCCATTCAATACCTGGTGAAGCTTTTTGAGAAGTTCAGTGGATCTCAGACTCAATGCTTGCCTTGACCACTCTCAGTTTCAAGTCTGTAAGTGCTGCTGTGTTTCCTATTTCTGCATCCCAGGCAGGTCTCTCTGTGCTTAACAGAGCACTTCAACACCCATTGGGAGCCTTCTAGAGGAAGCAGGAGATGCAGGAGCTATGGATGGAACCAGCAATTCAAGAAATCAGTTATTTTATTTATCCCTGAGCAAACAAACAAAAAATCTCTTTCTAGTGTCAACTTCTCAAACAGCAGAAGCTGTGAATTTAGTCTCAATTCTGTGTAAAGTAATCAAAGTAGACTTTATAAAGGCTTTGTAAACAAGAGCCTATTGATTTCTAACCCCACAGCTGCTATTATTAGAGTGTGATGTGTGACCCTTCTGTCTATTAATCCCTGGAAGATGCATGGCTTTGCAGTGAGTGACATCTGTGTGAATCAAACCATCACTGATTTCTTCATCCCTTGTCTTCACATTTAGGCTGCAAATGGCTGTGTTAAATAGGTGAAATAAGTGTGGACATTAGGTATGAGAAGCCACCTGAGACAAAATGTGAAACAAAAGGCTCAGTGTTCTCAGATGATGAAGAGAACGATTGTGCATCCATGAACAAAAGGCCCAAAAAGAAGGATCAGCCCCTTGAGGTACTTCCATATTCTCAAGTATCCTCCTTCTAAGATGTTCCTTGATCCTTCAGCTGGAATCTTCAACTGAACAGACACTTCTCTCTGGTCTAAACTCACTAAATACACTTTAAGTTGCTTCATGGAAACAAAAGAACTACAGGAAACACAGATCTCACTCTAATTTGCCAAAAGTTTTGCAACATTTTGTTATGGAGGAAATAAAACCTGTGTGGGAGATGCTGTAGGCAAAGACTTCTTGCAGATCTGGGCAGGGTGGATGGAGCCACAGCCAGCAGCTGAGATCTCATCCTGTGGGGAGCTGGGCTGGTTCCCTCCTTCCCTTGGCCCAGCATGAGGAGCAGAGCAGTGTGGTTTGGTCAGCAGCTGCAATCCCTTCTCCTGGGTTGTCCTACCTGTGGGGGCTTTCACCAAAGTCTGGGCTGCTCTGTTCCAGCCATGGAAAGGTGCAGCCTCTCCAGCTACTCCCAGAGCTGTCCAGTGGGCTCCCAAAGGAGCCAGAGCTGTTCATGCCCATTTAAGGGTCTTGGCTGTGCAATTAATGGCAGCTTTGCTTTAAGAGCCACATGGTTTCCCCAGGAGCAGCCTTCTCCCAAGCTGCAGGAGGTCCTGCTCCAGTCTGGCTGTGTCCCTGGGCTCCTGGCTCAGAGAGCTACTCCGAGCTGTGGAGTCAGGTGTGGTGTGGGATCCACTGCTGCTCCACACAGCAGCTTTGCTCCTCACCTCTGCTCCAGCCCTGCTTTCTGGGCACAGCCATCCCATCCAGATCTGTTGTGCTGTTGGGGATTCACCATGGGGACCTGGGGTAGATTTCAAGCTTGGAAGAGGGAGAGAAGTGTTGGATTAATCACATCTCTGTGAGAAACTACTTTGGTTTATGATCAAGTATTAAAAATGGAGATTTAGGTGGAGTCTAAACAAAACCTCACCATGCTGCAGTCCCTTGTATATGTGAATAGTTATACCTTGCTGCATCATGGGAATGCAGAAACACAGCATGGTCTTGGGTTTGAAAGTCCTATAAAACAGAAAAGTCCTTGCTTTGGTCCTGTCAGGTCCTTACAGGTAAATAGAGGTTAGTGCTACTAAGAAAACAAGGCTTTGAATTTATGTAAATGGAGTAGAAGGGCCTACCACACCTTGCAGTGCTCTTTGATGCAGTGACAGGCCTCCACACTGAGAATTCATGCCCTGTTACAACATCTCACAACCATTTCTTGTTGTGAAGCTCATGAGACACAATGCCACACCAGAACTCTTCCGAGAGAAGTAGGCACTGCAGATTAGGGCTTTTTCTTTCATTTGTTTGCTAGCCTAACTAATGTCTGTCTGAGTCTGGAGAACGGGGTTAGCCACAAGAAACCAAATTCATGGAGTTGGTGTGCCTCCTCCTGAGCAGTCAGGGCTCCTTGTAAAATCTCGGCACCAGCTGACTACAAGACAGAATTCCAATAGCTGGTTTCTAAAATAATTTCAACAGATTTTGTCTGGCCTCTTTCTCAAGCAAGAGGGTGATTTTAAAGAGCTCTACCTCATCAGAATTCCAGGCCTGGTGTCTTGGGAAGCCCTTCAGCTTTGTAATGCCATGAGCTGTACCCTCCAAGGAGGTGTGGATGGATTGGACAGGGCAGGATGGGCTGGGAGACACCAGAGCTGGCTTCCTGCTGACAGTTTGGTCTCTAGATCCATGAGCTGCTGTAAATGGCACCAGTTTGACCTGGCTCTTTCAACAGTTGAGTTATTAACAATCTTTAGCCACAGCTCTAACCAAGCACCAGAGGGGAGTGTGTTGATGTAACCTGGGTATACAACAGGCTTCTTAAAGAGATTAGTCCTCAGCTGGCCACTCATTACTGATCTTCAGGGCCAAAACTTCTGCATTACTTCATGCATGGAACAGGATCCTTGCCACAGAGGTCCCACAAAGATGGGTGAGTTATAAGGAAAAAAAAAAAAAGATGTTTCCTACTATGCCTCTGAGGTTTTGTCTTGGTTTTCTGCAGGCACCGCCTAGGACCCTTAGACCTCGCTTCAGGAAGAAAAGTACCTCGTCCTCTGCCACTGAAACAATGTGAGTGCAATGAGCCAATAGCACCAAGATCCACAGAATGTCTCTCTTCTGCCTTAAAGAGCTACTCATTCATAAAGTAGGAAACAGCAGTGGGATGGATGTGCTTTGATGTACAGCACTGTAGACATGGCCTTTCTCCCTCCTCTCTCCGCATCCTTCTGTGGCACGCTGCTGGTGTTTGTCCCTGACGTGGGTAGGACAGTCTGGCAGGCACCTGCAGGTGAGGGGTCCTGGTTTGGTTTGCAGAGTGTGCACCCACCCACAGTGTACATTTACAGTTTCATTTGTGTCTGCATAGCTCTTGCTCTGTGAATGCCCAGAGGAAACAACAATAATCAGTTACTCATGATGCTACATTGACGGCGTATTTATTTATGGCTTTATCATGGATGAAGTGGATTTGCAGAACCCATGGATTTCTCTTTCCTCCCTTCCTCCTCAAGACTGTGAATGATGTAACAAATGTCAAAGTACTTTGACTGTACAAAATGTCCAAGATTTGTTAGCGAAAGCTGAGCTGCAACTGCGTTTTTTCTGCAAGTAAATCACATGTTCTGTGAAAACCATTGTGCTAAACCCACAGAGACAGAACCACTTACAGAGGATGAGGAAGTGATATGCAAGAGAAAAAAAATTGTTTCAATGATGTAATGAAGGGAGAGTCCTAATTTCAATCAGCCTGAGCCAGGAGAGTATTTTGTGGAAAATGATGCATAGAAGAACTAAATCCCACCATTTGTGGCCAATGTTCTACTGCAAGTTTTAAAGTGTGAGCAAGCCAGGCTTGAGCAAGCTTCAGCAACAAAAATTAGAATTGCTTTAGTGATGCATTTCCAGGGGCAAACACACCTTTCTCCCCTGCTGCACCAGTGCCAGTCCCAGCACTCTGCTCTGCTGCTGAGGGGATGCTGTTCTGCTTGCATGAGCAGAGGAGGGTGCTGGGTCTGAGTTGCTTTTGGAAGCCTGGAGTTTCTCCTGTAGCATGGAATTTGGTTAGAACCACAAGAACAGAATGGTTTATTTGTATCCATATATAAATGGGAAATATAAAAGAAGAGGAAGACATGGTAGGGTTTGTGTATTTGTGCTTCAAGTTGGTGTCTCTTGTAAGTGTTGAGCATGTGAAATTCACACATAATTTAATTACCCTTTGTGTTTGCTCTTTGACCTGTCACGTAGACTAGAAAAGGATTTAGCATTATGTAGGATGTGCCATCACCAATGGATCAGCACAGGGGCTCGATGGTGTCACTGTTCATCTGGCTCAGGTGCAGCAGCCCAGGGTGCCAAAAGCCAGCTGGAGTGTGCCAGGCTTGAAGATTACTCTGAAGTGGCCTTTAAAACCATTTCTCTGCCAGGTGTGCATCCATATCCCAGCTGCCCATCTGGTGGATCCCTGAGGTCACCCCCACAGCTTCCTACATGTGTGGGGAAAAAAGAAAAAAATTATGCGCACACAGAAATGTTTATCTGACCTGTCTAGGAAATGGAAAATCAAGCAGGTGTTTCCTGTGTCTGCCACAGTGTTTGGCCTCATTACCTGAGAATTTTATTTTCATGTGCTGATTCAGTCATATTTTGCAAATTTTGAAAAATTCTTCAGAAAGTAAATTTAAAAAAAAAAAGCCCAAACAAACCTGTCTAAAGAGCAGTTACAGAAGAGTTGGTCCCTGGAAGATACTCAGCAAAAGCTTTGAGAAGTTAAGCTTATGTATTTTACTTATAAGCAGCTTTAGAGTTATTTGATTTCTTTTGGCTAACATTAAAAAGAAATAAGAAAACTGCCTGCACTGTTAGCAGAAAATAAAATCCTGTTGCAAGCAAGCCATGTTTCCCTGCTATGCAATGGGCTGCTGTAAAATAAAAAAGAAGCTGACAAGTTTGCACTCAATTATGCCAAATAACCCAAACAACATAGAGCTGCATAACATCTGACAAGTTCTAATCTCAGACACGCTGTACTAACATCGATTCTCACTAAAACTATTTAATGTGCGTCTAATCTGCTGTTTTACTGTAAACTTGACTGTTTAGCATTTCTTAAGTGCTGAGGTGAAATGTTGACAAGGGAGTTGCCTTATATCTCTCAAAGCATTCACTGTATAAATGACAAAAATAAACCTTTTCATATCTCTGGAAAAGAAAAAAATGTATTATCAACGGAGCTGTGTATTTGCTAATAGACAGATGTGAATGCCTGACCTGGTGCACTTGTGCTCCAGTGCTCTGTACAGACGAGAGCGGCCACTCGCTTTGATTCCTGGCACAGGTTGTTTACAGGGGCTGCCCCCAGCCTGTCAGTTCTGTGTCACAGCTCCCTGTGTTCATTCCAGATAAACACCACCCGTGAAGTCTTTTGTTCCAGCTTTTCTCTGGAGCCTCTGCCAAGGAGCGAGCCCGGTTCGGTGAGGCTCAGCCTTCCTGCGCTGCTGCTGACCCCTCCTGGCAAAGCGGGATGTGCAGGAACCCCTGATGGATGGATGGATGGATGGATGGATGGGTGGATGGATGGATGGATGGATGGATGGATGGATGGACGGATGGATGGATGGATGGATGGATGGATGGATGGATGGATGGATGGATGGATGGATGGACGGATGGATGGATGGATGGATGGATGGATGGATGGATGGATGGATGGATGGATGCTTTCTAGGCCTGTGTTGGAAAGGAGCAGTTCTCAGCTCCCTTCCTGTTCCACCTCTGAGTGTGCAGGCAGGTTGAACACTTTCAGATCTCCCCTCCTAAAATCAAGCAATCTTTCAGCTGATGGTTTAAAATAGCAGAGCTGGCTTAGTTTAAAACGCCCCGTTTTGGGGCCAACTGCCTGAAAAGCCTACTACTATCAGTCCTGTAGGGCAGGCAGGCACCTCCGGTGTCTCAGAGAGGGCTGAGAGAACTCTGAACTCTGAAGAGAACAGGCCAGCCCTAGGAAACAGCCTTTACCCATCCCAAGGCTCCAGTGAAACATGCATTATTTTAAGCACATAAAATTGAGGCTGAGGGGAGGGAAACTGCAGCTGGAGATGGTCTGTGGTAAACAGGCCTGGGAATGACCTCCCCAATTTACCATAAACTCATAAGCCTGGAGCAGCCAAGTGCACCCATCTGTGCCTCCTCTCCTGCCATAGGGATCAGCATCAGTGCAGCTCCAGCAGTCACCAACTGCTGAATCAGGATCACATCAAAAACAAGACAGACTTCACATGTGTCCCTGTCACCCTGGAATGAATCAACCTAAAAACCTTGTAGAAGTGCAAACCCAGCACAGAAGGGAAGAGAATCAGGCAATTTATTCCTGCTAGGAGGGAGAAAGCTGCTTGGAGACGATGCTCCTCCTGTAAACAACCTGCTGCCTCTGGCTGCTGGCGAGTCCTCGTGTTGTGATGAACCCTTGTGCTCCTCACCCACAGTCTCCCTTTTGCTGTTTCAGGCACCTGTTTTGCATCCAGCACATTTGAACTAGCAGAGAACACGTTGGGATTTGCGTTTAGACAAACTATTTAAGGCTCATAATTGTGCACTTGGTGTGATTTCTTTCCTGTGATGGGTAGAAAAGTTCTGTGATACCATGGTACACTTGATGCCTCACAAGGACGGCCATTACAACAGTATTCCAAAGGTTGATGTTTTGCTGGTTTTGTTATACTGCTTGATATACATCTTGAATAAAGTCTTAATCTTTTCTTTATTTAAAAAAAAAAGAACAAAAAACAAACCCAAACATCTTTAGTCTGTTCAATGTATCTGGCAGGCCAGAATAATCACTTTGATTGCTGTATTATTTTTATCTGAATTCTGGCTGACTGTATATAGATGTATTCACTAAGTGCTGCATGTCCTTCAGAACTTTCTGTATCATGAACTGGAAAAAGAACAAAATACAGCTACTGAACACTGAGTAACTAGTGAATTCATTGCAATGCTACAGCCTTGTACAGCAAACCACCTCTGCTATACAGGCAGCTCTGGGACTGATAACCAGGGACTGTCTGCTCAAAAATTGGTTATCCTGGAATGCTTTAAAGTATTGCTTTCATACACTTTCTGGAATATCAGCTTTGTAGAGAAAATATCTGATCCAACCCTTAGCAAAACCAGGGTCTAGTTGATCTGCTCACTCCAAACAGACCCCACAATAAATCCTTGGGTTTGTTCCAGTTATGTGTGACCAGGAATGTGCAGTATGAAGTCTATTCAGACTTAAAGGAAAAATAAACAAGAAATTACTCTGACTTATCTGCTTGAGGATGCTGTGCAGGACACAGAGAATAGATTCTACTACTCAAAAACCAACAGAGGGCACAAAACGTGAGTCCTGTAATGAAAGCTGGTGGCCAATACATTTTAAAATCAGTTATAAAACCAGCACGTAGCTATGAAACTCTGGTTTGGGTTTTTTTTTCCCCTACACTTCCTAGCATGGACACAAGGCAATAGTGTGTTATTGTGAGAGGCAAAAATGCTAAGATGGACCCTGTCTCTTTTATCCTGTTCCCTAGAAGACTCTATTCAGTGAGCCACCACTTCGTATGGATACAGAAAAATAGATTCTGGGGTTATTTACACATATTTATTTAAAAAAAATAGGATTAAGTATGTTGAATTATTCACTTTTAGTGCTGTTTAGTGTATTCCTCCATGACAAGCAATCACAGGAAACCACCAGACATCAGAATGTGTGGGTGACCAACCTGACCTCTGCTAAGTAAAACAAACAGCAGATGAAGATAAATTTGAGTATTCCTTTATTGTGGGCATTGATTCTCATAACTCTGCTCAGACGATACGTACATGTTTATTTAAAAAACCACAGATGTATGGTCCAAAACCCAGACCATGCCACAGGACTGCTGCCCCTTTCCCAGAGATGTGCAAACCCAAGATTTCTACACACGGAGATTCGTGCGGTCGTGGTACTTCTGGTAGGGGTCATCAACGTACCAGTTCCTTCTTTTCCAGAAGGAAGTGGTCATTTTATCCAGGAGCTTACACTGTGTCCTCGTGCACAACACCAACTCCCTCAAACGCTTCTTCTGGGCAGCTGATTTCTTCCACAGCCTCTTCTTATAACCTGACTGTTAGGAGAAAACACACACAGAAAAATCCCCTTTCTTAGCAGGTCACTGCAAATACACAAACACAGCCACACTGCTCAGCAAACCTGGATAAATCCCTCCTCTTTCAGGAAAATGGGAGTCTCTCTACAGAGCTTGTCTAACTTCCACACCAGCCACTGCCCTCCAAGTGAAGGAAAACAATTTCACTTTATTCTGACTGTAAAGAACAGGCTCTCATTATCTAAAAAATCTCACCATTCTCCTAACCCAGAGGCCGTTGTGCAGCCGGAGGAACCTCTTGACCACAGATTTCACACTTTTCCTCTTTCCCTTCCGTGCGCTGCAGTAGGTGAGGGTCCTCACTGGCTGCTGGAGTAAACTTGGAAGTAGAGGTGTGACACTAAAAAAAAACAAACCAACCCAAAAACGGAGAGGGAATCAGAACAGTAATGAAACACCTTTTTCTAAAAGAAATCACTGCCTTTATCTCACACAGAGAGATCAGCAGAGCTGTGGCTTGTTTGAAGGGTAAAAATGACTCTAATATTACAGCACAGCACCCAATGGGTGCAGAATACCAATGTCAAGGCTGGACTCTTGTCAAAATTCAGCTCAAACTTATTATTCCACACAGAGAACCTTTTTTTTTATCTACTAAAAGCAGTCAAACACTCAGAAGCCAATATTCAGCTGTTACTTGGATTCAGAAATTACTTTTATAATATTAATCACAAAATAGTTTGAGTTGGAAGGGACCTCGTAAACCATCTAGTCCAAAATCCATCAGAAGCAAGAGAATCAGTAGTGATTGCAAGATTAAGTGTAAAATATAGCTGCAAAGAATATCCTAATTTAACCCCTGCTTCAAGCATTAATGGTGACTGAAGTGGGAGGCTCTGGGGCTAGACACACACCCACTGCAAAGGTGCCCAAGAGTGTCAGACTGAAGTTTATATATAATACATGTGTTTGTATGTCTGTCTATCTATATAATCTCTGTATGTATTTTATATATATATATATATATATATATATATATATACACAAAAGGGTAATGGGGTCAGTCTCTTTTCCCAAGAAATGAACAACAGGACAAGAGAAATTTTTGCCAGGGGAGGTTTGGATTGACTCTAAGGAAAACTTTCTTCACAGAAGGAGCTGTCAAGTCCTGAACAGGCTGCCAAGGGCAATGGACAAGTCACCATCCCTGGACGAATGTAAAACCTGTGCAGATGTGGCACTTGAGGACATGATTTAGTGCTGGGTTAAGGGTTGGACTTGATGATCTTAGAGTTCTTTTCCAACCTATGATTCTACAATATTCATATATATATATATGGAGAAATTTCAACATATACACTACACATATTGCATATTACACTATATTATATAACATGTATTGCATATAATACTACATAATTATATAATACTGCATATTATATTATGACATATAACATAGACTATACTAACAACACAATATTAATACACATGATTATAAATTGTATGTGTTATAGGATACATAATACATTCACAGTATATTGCACATAAGTAGTGAATAAAAGATATATTCCTAAATGTATTTATGAATAAATCTATTTTAATATAAAACATATTTATACATAAATACATTTAGGAATGTATATCGTTATATATAGTTATATATATATACATATACTCGAAATGTATAGTATTTAAAATTATTTCGATTTATCTGAAACAACATAATACATCTAAAACATGAAAAGTATACAAATAAAGATGTATATTAGGTACATATATATAAGCTATATAGAGAGAAACTCCCCCATATATATCTGAAACCCCTTTTAAGGGTTTTTAGCGCGGGAGAAGCCGCACCTGCTGAGCACCGAGCGTGTCCCTGCGCGGGGCCGGTTCTCGCTGAGCACCCGCGGGGTCCAGAGCGGGGCCGGGGCCGGTCCGTGCCCCGCGCACCGGGCGGAGGGGCCGCCGAGCGGCAGCGCTCGGGGGATACAGCGCCGCAGGATCCCTGTGGGGACACGGGAGAGCCTCAGCACAAACGTCCCAGCCAGACAGCCCCGGCCCCGACACCGACACCGCCCCGGTACCGACCCCGACCCCGCCCCGGTACCGACCCGCCAGGGCCCCGCGCGCCGCCGCCGCCGCCATGGCCACGCTGCGCCGGGCGGGGCCGCGCCGCGTCCCGCCCACGGGGACTGCGGCCGCCGCGGGGCCGGGATCCGCCCCGCATTCGGGATCCCGCACCCCAACCGGGATCCGCCCCGCATTCGGGATCCCGCACCCCAACCGGGATCCGCCCCGCATTCGGGATCCCGCCCCCGAACCGGGATCCCGCAGCGGAGCCGGGGTCGCTCGCCCGAGGGTATCCCGCACCCGAGCCGGCATCCCTCACACCCCCAGAGTCCTCCTCGTCCGCCCCGCTCCTTCCCCCGCGCTCCCGTCACCTTTAGTGACCGGCACACACCGTTGAAGCCACTAAAGTGCCCTGGAAACGCGCCAGGTGGATTTAGCTCAGTGTTTTTACTGGTTTATTCTCACTTTTTTTTCTTTTTTACTGGTTTATTCTCACTTTTTTATCTTCAGAAGCCTGGCCGGACTGGTTGAAGGATGAGATAAAAATGGCTTCTGAGTGCTCTGAGCGAGAGAAGGTTTATGAGCGAGCTGTGAAAGGTTACAGCTGTAAATTGTTGATAAATGCTTTAGAATGTGCCGCGTTACACTCAGACTGGGGGACGGGAGCGTCTCTCTCCCAAGGCTGAGCAGCCTCGGGGAGAGCTGAGAGGAGACCTCGTCCATACCCGTTAGTATCCGAAATTCTTCGTACACGGTCGGCGCTCGGAGCAGGGAGCGGCTCTGCTCGGTAGGGTAGGAGGGAACGGGCAGAGGCGGGTGCCCCAAGTGTCACCGGAACACGCGGAGTAACTCCGCAGCGCAGTGACCGCGCGCTGGGGCACTCCCCAGACGCCGTGTGGAGCCTCCCTCACTGGGGACATGTGAGAACCCCAGCCTTGTTTTGGGGCCACATGTGGTGGTGAAATTCCTCCTCTAACCCGTGTTTTCAAAGAAAAACTCCGCAGGCTTAGCTGTTTGGTCTTAAGGCAGTTTATTGCTAGTTATCTAACAGATTATGTTCTTGGACTGTAGCTATTTGATCAGCGGCTTGGGTAGAGGCACACACACACCTTGACATCCTTTCTATCTGCTGTTTTTTTCGTTTTTCTCTCCGCCTAGGGTTGCTGCTATCTTTTATAAGATATATTATGTATAACATGTTTACAATTATTTTCCAATACCTACTACCTACGTTACCAAGTGTTTTTCTACTTTAAACCAATCTGTGAGTGCCAACATTACTAAGAACATGGAGGTAAGGAAGAAGAAGGAAGAAGGATGGGTTTAGCCTACTTTCCTCCATCTTAGAACTTTTGACCCCTATGTATAAAGTGAAAACCCTCCTGTACATGTGTTAAAACCCCCCTGTATAGTACTAAAAAAATTTTCCTTCTACTTTGTAACTACTTTTACTATACTATCTAACCTTTTGTGACTGCTTGTTCTACCTCTAAAGTTGGTAATTCATTCCATGGCTTAAACTCAAAATCACAGTTGTTTTTCAGTTGTCTGCTAGGGTTTAGAATGCTTCTGACCAAGGCTTGGAACCTCTAAAAATGTCTGAGAGACATTTTGAGTTCCCACAGGGACATTCCAGCGCTGTCTGGCTGCAGTCCTGTGCCGCGTGCTGCGCTTTGGACCGACTTTGCCCCCATCCCACCTGACCCATTCTGTCATTTTCATTTAATTTAATTTTATTTTATTCTGTCCCCGACAGTCCCGGGAGCGCGCGCGGGCCCCGCCCCGCCGGCGTCGCGCGGCCCGTGCCCGCCCTCCCATTGGCCACGCGAGACCCGTCACGCGCGGCCGCCCCCTGGCGGGGCGGGAGCGCCCGCGCAGGCGCAGTGGCCGCCGAAGGGGGGGAACGGAGGCGGCGCCGGCAGGACCCGCGCACGGCGCCTTCCCGCGGGCCGCGCCATGCTGCGGGCGTGCCGCCGAGCGGGGCTCGCCGCGGCCAAGCAGGTGAGCTTTCCCCGGGGGAGCACCGCGACCCGCTCCCTCTGTGATCAGCGGTGCGGCCGGGCCAGGCCTGCGGAGCGGGGCAGTCCCTGTGACCGCGGCTCGGCGCGCGCTGAATGACTCCGCACGCGCGGGCCGCGATTGGCCGCGCAGCCTCTGACGGACGGCCGCGACCGCCAGCGGAGGCGGGGGGGCGGGCGCTGCTCGTTGCTATGTACTACCAGTCCCAGCGTGCACCGCGGCAGGGCAGCGCGGGACTGGATGCGGCGCCGCCGCAAGGCACGGCGGGAGTGTTAGTCCTTAGCGGGATGGCGGGGAGCAGCGTTGCTTGCTGGGGGCTGTAGTCTCGGCCGCCATGGCCGCGCCGGGCCCGCAGCTCCGCTCCGCCGCTCCCGGCCCGCACCCCGGGGCAGCGCCGGGAGCCGCGGGCGCAGCCCGGGGGCCGGGGGGGCTCGGTGGGGACGCGCACGGCCCGCCGGCCCCGCGCGGACGGGCGGCGGGCGCGCTCCCCGGCGGGAAGGACGTGACCTTGCCTTCCCCGGCGCGCCCGGCCGCCACGAGGGTCGGACCGGCCCCGGGGTGTGACACGAGTGGTGTCAGCGCTCGTGTGCAAGGGGATCCTTCTGTCCCCACGGTGGGACACAACTCGCGATGCCCAGGGCAGAAATGCCTGTGGGACTCGTGCTTTTTACCCTGGACCTTTGCCTCTGCTTATCAGCAGAGATAAGAACGGTGGTGTGCTCTGGAGCCTTTTTAAAGCAGTAAGCCAACTTTAGGAAGCCACAGGGATTTATAGGTGCGGGCGACTCCTTTACCGAGGCTCCAAGTTGTATTTCAGCTGGCTGATAAGAAATAAGCTGATTAGATCACTTTTGTGTCCTGCTTTCCATCCCAGCGTTCACTACCCTGTGTTCACACGATTTAGCAAAGGAGTAGCTGTAGGTTCTTCCCTCTAAAGCTCCAGCCTTTCCTACTGCAGCAGCTTCATTTCCTCTGCTGCTCTGCAGGGCTGGAGAGTCCTTTGGTCACCTGATGCCCGCTCTGGGTTTGCCTGCCTGTGGAAAGTTTCATCTGGAAGTTGAGAAGACAGAAACCAGGCTTTGGCAGATATTTATCACTTGCGCCTATTTGCATTGTGCTCAGCCTTTAGCAGAATGTGTCTGGAATGACTGTACAGCTCCAGAGCAGCCAGGGTGGTGCTTTGCAGCTGGAAGTTGGTCATCAGGCTATAAATATTTGGTGGAAGAGTCACAGAATGGTTTGGATTGGAAAGGACCTTAAGACTTTCTCATTCCAAACTCCCTGCCTTGGGCTGGGACACCTTCCACTATCCCAGGTTACTGCCAGCTCTGTCCAGCCTGGACATGGACATTTCCAGGGACAGGACATCCACAGATTCTCTGGACAACACCACACCACCCTCACAGGGGAGCATTTATCCATGAGAACTGTGCAAACACAGACATGCCACAGCACTCTCTGAAGATTTTTATCTGTACCAGGGAGCTTGTGGTGGAGACTGGGAAAACTTCATTCATTCTTTCTTTCCCTCTTTCCTGTTATTCATTTTTCCTACTTTTATTCTTTCTGTCAGCTCTTTATTCATTCTTTCCTATTGTGAGCTCTGTATGTGGAGCATCACTAAACTTGTAACAAGTAAATTGAAGAGGATTTGAGAGAAGGGGATCTTCATCACTTTCAGAAATGTTTTCTGCTTACATGTGCAGTGCTGCAGAGAGATTTTGCTCTTGTAGTATCTTTGAAGTTTGTTGTGAAAATAAGCAGGGCTTTTAGTAAAAGTATGTGATATTTGGCAGAAGTCTTGAATGATGGAAAATTGGAGTTCTGTGGTCAGATGTTCTTGTTGTACCTGGTCTCTGTCTTAATGAAGAAAAACTTCTCTGAAGCTTCTGGTTAGCTCTTTCTGTTGAAGTGCACAAATCCCACATTACAGAAATTCTGGATCAGGATGCTTGAGCCTCAGAGAGGTTGAGCTGGAACTGAATGAGCAGAGGATGATGTGTCCTGGCCATGGTTATTTGAAGTTACACATAAAGTATAAACCTGCAAGGCAAATTTAATTTGTTTAATGAAGTTCTGCCATGCTGTTCTTGCTCTGAGCGCTGTGCCAGAGTGAGCTCACATGGATATCCTTAAATGTCCTTAAATCACTGGGACTCATTAACCAGAGTAAAGGTGTGATGTGCCCTGCAGAGTGACTCTTGTGGTGATTAAATAGTAGGTAATGAATGCAAGATAATAGGTATTTAAGAAGTTGAATGAAACAGATATAATTTAGAGCTGCTGGAGGAGGAGGAGGAAGAAGTAGAAACAGCTGCCCTACAGTGCCCTTGCTGTAGGCATCCTTGCTGCGTCCATGCTGCCTCATCCAAAGAATTTGCTGTCTTCTGCAGGACAGAAAGTGGTTTGTTTCTGCCTTTTGAAGGGCACAGCAAAGCACATGTGATTAATTTCTCCAAAATTCTTTGAGGCATTATTACAAATAGATGACAGGGGTCTGAAAATTTACAAAGTCCTGGAAATTTTGCAAAGGGGAGATTAGAAACTACCTGATAATCTCCATATTATGGTGGTACAGCAAATAAAAGTAATATTATTATGGTGGCCAAGAGAGAGCAATACTTCTTTAAAAATGATGTTTTAAAAAATCAGTGATTTTTGGAGGTCTTAGTGTATCTGGATGTGAGGGAGGAAAAAACTGGGCTTCTGTTCATAAAACGTGGGTACCTACAGATTTTCATTTGCTGCTTCACTGGCCAGCTGTGGAAATTTGTTGCAGTGACTTGAAAGATGGAGTTGGTGAGGGCTTGTTTTGGGTTTAATTACTGCTACCTGTGTGAGAGTCCCAGTGCCAGAGATGGAGGGCCTGTGTTTTGGTTCCTCTCATCTTGATGAAAAATAAATAGAAGTGAGCATTTGGCTAATTCTAGAACAGTCCAGCTTGGAAGAGATCTCTAAAGATCATCTGGACTAAAATCAGTAATCCCTCCAAAAAACCCCTCTTGGTTGTATAAAGCATAAATGCTGAGCTAAGAGAAGCAGGTGTTCTCTGTCTT